ACACTCGGGGTTGGCTAGTGGAAAAGGGATGGGTAATTATGCATGCTCAAGGGTAGAAAACATGCTTATAGGATTTATGTTCTGAATGATTCAATTCTGCATTTTAGGAAACATGCCTATAGGACTGGTTTTAAATCTTGCATGTTCAATTCTGCATTTAGACACCATGTCTATAGGATTTATTATAAATTTTGCATGTTTGACTCTACATCTAGATAACCTGCCTATAGGACTTGTTTAAAATTCTGCACGTTTGTTACCACTTAGATACCATGCTCTAGGATCTAAACGGCTATAAGCAGATATCATGTTCATAATGTATATAAATCATGCCTAGAGGAATTTCCAATTAAAATCCTGCGTGTTTCCATTCCACGTTCAAATAGATATCATGTTTACAGGGGTTAAAATCAGCATTTAGATATCATGTTTATAGGGGTTAAAATCAGCATTTAGATATCCTGCCTATAGGGGTTAAAATCATTCAATTAGATATCATGTCTATAGGGCTTAAAATCAGCCTAACTCATACTGTTCTGAACTAGTTTTTTTTAAAAACAACTTACTCTCCCCTTGTTAACACGGTTTAGCAAGCATGCCTATAGGATCTCAAACCGCTCGTTTTAAATTGGTTTCTGCTTTGCCACACTCTGAATCAGTAATAGATACCATGTTTGTAGGATCTCACCCAAACACTTAGGCAAACCTTAGGTAATAACAACAAATAAAACTGAGCCCGCTTCTGTTACCTAGTAATTGCTACAACCAGCAAGCAGGCCTGATTCGGACTTCTTATCTGAGTTACGTAATAAATTGGTCTGCTTTAACAACTTAAAATCCCCTTGCCTTAGTATTTTAGATTCAGACCTTGATTGTTGTTTGAGTCATGCTATTTGATTGCTTTGTTTGAGGAGGTATACATGGGCCTTCAGTGTTTTGTGTGCTTCCCCTTTAATGTGCAGTCCTAAGTGTTTTGTATGTCGCCTTAGCTTTTTTACCTTTGAAACTTCAAGTCAGCCTAATATCCCTCCCCTTTAGGAATAGTAGTCCTAAGTGCCTCCGGGACTGATAGGAATGGGACGGGTAATAGCATGCAATAGTGGTCGAGACCAATCCGCGCTTTAGTACCTTAACGGGGTGGGAAGGGTAGATATGGATATGATGACCGGTGCACTAATACCACATGTAGCCCCTCTTTTGAGGAGTGATTACTGGGTATTGCATCGATGTGATCCATATTACAAATAAACCTAGGACCTCCCCCCTCCTCTTTCCTTTTCTTTAAATATTTTTACACAATTATAACTTCCTGTCAAAAATCAGCCTTTTAATAATTGCTCTTCCAAACTTTGTTTTACTTTCTAACATTTGTGTATTAAAATCCCCTCTTATTTGAGCCTTATCTGTTTACATGTTAATTGCACCAAATTCACAAAGAACTGTCTGGCCGGGAACCCCACTAGTGGATCGTGAGGGGTGCCTAATACCTTCCCCCTTAGGATAATTTCAAGCCCTTACCCTATCTCTTGTTATTAAACAAACTCAGAAGTGAACCTTGTAGGTGTCCTAATACACCTTAAATCATTAGGTGGCGACTCTTCAAATGCAAAACCCAGTTCCCAAAAGGAACGAGTTGTCCTGTACCCAAAATGTCATAAACCTGATCTCCCGATGCAAAGAGGGAGAAAAAAGGGGGCGCGACACAACCCACTTAGAAAAATAGTTAGTCATTAACAAAATAAATTGAGCCTTACCTGGTGCCCGTGGAAGGGGGCCAAGATGTCCATTCCCCATATCATGAATGGCCATGGTGACAAGATCGAATGTTGCGGTTCACCGGGCTGGTGAATCATTAGAGCATGTCTCTAGCATCCGTCACAATTCCGTACGAACTCTTTCGTGTCTTTTTCCATATCGATCTAATAATAACCGAATCTGATTATTTTTCGAACCAATAATTCGGCACCGGAGTGATTTTCGCAGGTGCCCTCGGTGATTTCCCTCAAAACATAGTCGGTATCTCCTGGTCCCAGACATATTGCTAGCGAACCATCGAACATTCTTCTAAACAAGATCCCATCCTTGGATAGGCTAAATCAGGCTTCTTTTGCCACAGGGCCCTCGATTCTTTTTGATATGAGTGTAATTTCCCTGTTTTCAAATATTCTATGTATTTGTTTCTCCAGTCCCGAGTTAAGCTTTTAGAGTTTATTTCGGCGTGGCCTCCTTCTACCACCGATCTCCTTAATTGTACAACTGCCTCCAGTTGAGCTCGTCGTCTTCGACCACGACCCTAAGTTTGCAAGGGCATCGGCCTCGCTATTATGATCTCGAGGCACGTGCTGTAAGGTCCATTCTTTCAACTGGTGCAGTACGACTTGCAATTTGTCTAGATATCTTTGCATTCATTCTTCTCTGAGTTCAAACGTCCCGTTAACTTGGTTCACCATAAGGAGGGAGTCAGACTTAGCCTCGATCACCTGTGCCCCAAGCTTTTGGCAAGTTTGAGACCTGCAATCATGGCCTCATATTCGGCCTCATTGTTAGTCAATGTCACAATTCTAATGGATTGTCTAATTACATTGCTCGAGGGTGGATTTAACACAATGCCAAGTTCGGGCCCCTTTACGTTCGAGACGCCGTCTATAAATAGGGTCCAAATTCCTGAGGACGTCTTCGAGTTAACCATCACTTCTCTATCGACCTCGAGTATTAGGGCCGGTGTAAAGTCGGCAACAAAATCTGCCAATATTTGAGACTTAATGATTGTCCGGAGTCGATACTCAATATCGTACCCGCTAATTTCTATGGCCCATTTGGCCAATCGTCCCGAAAGTTCGGGTTTATGCATTACATTTTGTAATGGGTAAGTTGTCACAACACATATAGGATGGCACTAAAAATATGGTTTCAGTTTCCTAGAGGAACTTAGCAATGCAAGAGCCAATTTTTTTAAGTGAGATATCTAGTTTCAGCCTCACCTAAGGTCCTGCTAACATAATAAATTGGAAATTGCGTACCTCGTTCTTCGCGAACTAGGACTCCACTTACCGCTATCTCCGATACTTCCAAATACAAGTATAGTCATTCGTCCGCCCTCGGAGTGTGAGGCAATGGTGGGCTCGATAGATAATGCTGAAGTCCCTCCAAGGCCTGTTGGCATTCCGAGGTCCATGTGAAGTTGTTTTTCTTCGTCAGCAACGAGAAAAACTAATGGCTTTTATCGGAGGACCTCGAGATGAATCGCCTTAGGGCGGAAATGCGCCCGGTTAGCCTTTGTACGGCCATCACGTTATCGACTATAGTGATGTCCTCGATAGCCTTGATCTTATCGGGGTTAATCTTGATTCCTCGGTTGGATACCATGAACCCGAAGAATTTTCCTGACCCGATCCCGAAGGCACATTTTTCTAGTTCAGCTTCATGTTGTACTTCTTCAATTTACTGAAGGTTTCCTGCAAATGTTTTAAATGGTCCTCTGCTCGTAGGGACTTTACTAACATAGCATCAATATAAACTTCCATCGTTTTTCCTATTTTTTCCTCGAACATCCGATTTACTAGACGTGATAAGTGGCACCGGCATTTTTTAATATGAATGGAATTACGTTATAGCAGTACGTGCCGTGTTTAGTAATGAAGGAAGTTTTTTCCTAGTCATCCGGGTTCATCCGTATTTGGTTATACCCGGAATAGGCATCGAGAAAACTGAGGATCTCGTGGCCGGCCTTGGCATCGATCATGCGATCGATATTGGGAAAAGGGAAAGTGTCTTTGGGAAATGCCTTATTTAAATCTTTATAATCTACACACATTCTCATTTTGTTCCCTTTTAGGGACTACCACTACGTTTGCTAACCATTCCGGGTATTTAACCTCCCGAATGGACCCTATTTTAAGGAGTTTAGATACCTCGTCCTTGATGAAAGCATGCTTTACTTCGGACTAGGGTCTCCTCTTCTGATTGACTGGAGTGATTTTGGGGTCCAGGCTCAGTTTGTGAGTGGTTACATCCGGTGGGATCCCTGCCATATCAAGATGGGACAAAGCAAAACAATCGATGTTAACTATTAGAAATTGAATAAAAATTTTCCTGAGCTCGGGAGTTAACCTCGTGCCCAGGTATAGCTTTCGATCGGGCAGATGCTCGATCAATGTCACCTGCTCCAGCTCTTTGACCGTTGATTTAGTAGCATCAAAGTCATCAGGCGTTATAAAAGATCGAGGGACCCCGTAATCGTCGTCCTCATAAGTCTTTTGCTTGTTCGATTGGGTCGAGGCCGGTATCGGTAATTGCTATTTGGCCTCGGGGTCCGAGCTCGAACTTGGTTCCTTCGATGTTATGAGTGTCGATATCAGAATCACTTCTTCGACGGCAAACATTTTCTTTGCTTCCGGTTGTTCCTCATAGATTGTCTTAATCCCTTCCGGGACCGAGAATTTTCGCACTTGGTGAAGAGTTGAGGGTACCGCCCTCATGTGGTGGATCCATGGCCTCCCGAGAAGGGCGTTGTACTTCATGTCTCTTGCGATCACATAAAACTTGGCCTCACGTATGACTCCTGCGATATGGACTGATAATGTGATCTCCCCTTTAGTGGTTTCACATGCCATGTTGAACCCATTTAGGACTCATACCGTGGGCACGATCTTGTCTAGTAGACCGAGCTGTTCTATGACCCTAGATCGAATAATGTTGGCCGAGCTACCTAGATCAATCAACACACGTTTAATTCTAGTTTTATTTACTAGTACAGATATTACTAGTGCGTCATTATGAGGTTGTATGATCCCCTTTGCATCCTCGTTGCTGAAAGATAAGATTCCTTCCGGTCTGTAATCTCGAGTTCGCTTCTCCCTGGTGGTGGACCGTTTGGTGCGTTTCAACATCGGTCCATGTGGGGTATCGACTCCACCAATGATCATATTAATGATGTGTTGAGGTTCGGTATCTTCTTGTTCCGTTTGCCCGTTAGACCTATCTCTGAAATGATTCTTGGCTCAGTCGCTCAAGAATTCTTGAAGATGCCCATTATTGAATACTCGGGCAACTTCTTCTCTCAATTGTCGACAATCCTCCATTCTATGACCGTGAGTTCCATGATATTTGCACACTTGGTGGAGATCCCTTTGAGCTAGATCAGATTGTAGAGGTCGAGGCCATTTAGCATCCTTGATTTGCCCAATGGCTGATACGACGATGGCGGCTGCATCGATGCTAAAGTTGTGCTCCAATATCCTCGGAGCTCCTTTAGGCCCGATGGACCTGTCGAAGCCATTTTTTGTTATAATCCCTCGACTGTTTATACCTCGATCATTTCTCCTTTCGTTTCTTACATGGTTTCGACCGGATCTTCTTCTCCTCCAATCTTCATTATATGGCCGATATCGATCCCCGTTTGATCGTGGCTCGCGATCGATGTCTCTCTTGATTCTTTCGAGGGTCCTGGTGGGATAAATAGACTCAGAAGAGGCTCCAAATTGACCATCTTCGACTCTGATTTTTGATTGATACCGATTGTGTACATCGGCGCAAGTAGTGGCAGTGTATTCTATTAAATTTTGCTTCAATTGCCGTGAATCAATAGAACTTCAAATATTGAGTCCCTGAGTGAAAGCTTGAATAGCCCAATCATCAGCGACCGGCGACAGATCCATTCATTCCATTTGAAAACGGGACACGAATTCCTAGAGCGTCTCGTTATCCTTCTGTTTAACTTTAAAAAGGCCCGATTTCCTAGTTTCGACCTTGATGGTACTTGCACGTGCTTTCCCAAAGAATCTGCAAGCATAGAAAATGAGTCAATAGAATTAGGAGGTAAGTTGTGATACCATATTATGGCTCCCTTTGATAGGGTGACACCAAATTTTTTTAGTAGAACGTACTCGATCTCATCGCCTTCCAAGTCGTTTCCTTTGATGACACATGTATAAGAGGTTACATGCTCGTTTGGATCGGTCGTCCCGTTATATTTAGGTATTTCGGGCATATGAAACTTTTTGGGGATAGGTTTTGGGGCCGCACTTGGAGAAAAAGGTTTTTGCACGAACTTCTTGGCATCTAATCCCTCCAATACCGGGGGTGCTCCTGGGATTTGATCTACCCTAGAGTTATAGGTTTCGACCTTCTTGTCGTTTGCTTCGATCTTCTTTTCCCCTGATTCCACCCGCTTTGTTAGCTCATCGAGCATCTTTATTATTTTGAGGTTGGTGCCTGACTCTTGTTCAGTCGACCTTACTACGGCCGGTTCCGTTCTGCGGGTGACTTCTCGAGGCGGATCAGGTTCGGCCCTGCTCTGAGCCTGGCGGCTTTGCAATTGAGCTATCGCCACCTGTTAGGCTTGCAGCATTTCGAAAATCAAGCGTAGACTGATCTCGTCTTCTTCAATGTTTTGTTTGTTTCAAGCTGCCGATCAGGCTCCACCACGAACGCTATTTCCAGGGTCGGTATGCAAGTTTGCGTCGATGGCCACATGTGAATTTCATCAATCGGCTCTGCGGCCCGAATTACAACGGCATTAGAGGGTGGCCCTACGTTACCAGGCACCATGTTGTTATTCTCATCTTGATGACCAGACCCGTTGTCGATATGTTGGGGTGCTAATTGAGAGTTTGCCATTTTTAGCCTGAAATCAAAGATACTTCCAAGAGAAAATGTAAGGCAGTGTGTTACGTAGGCTTGTACCAAACAACCACTATTATCCTTAGCCCCACGGTGGGTGCCAAACTGTTTATCCTTGAAATTGGATAGCAATTAAATTTATACGCGGTTCTAAGGATACGTGATATGAATTGATACAATAGCGAGAAATTAGATTAACGCAAAAATGAACTATAGAAAGATAGATTCAACCTTCACAAATTGAGCAAACCTTAGCCTTATGAGATTGATTTCCCTTTAGCCAATAACAATGATATTATGGAATGCAGAGCCAAAATGAGTTGAAGCTAGAACTAACAGTATAATGCTTTTGATCTGTATTACAATCTGTCCATGAATAACTCAATCCCCTCTATTTATTGGGGGGAAAACTTACCTCTTTAGGTAGTATATTATAAGAAACAATAATCTTGATTTAGTGGACCGTTGGCTCTCTTTTTGGCCAATCCCGTGATTTATGCCATAATGATTAGTTAAATGGCGAGAATTACGGATCGCTGTCGGCTGAGGTGGCAGGTCTTTTCTTCGAGGCCGTTAAGAATAGGATCGGTTACGTCCTCGACAAACTCGAGGGCAAGTCTGATGATTTCGATGGCTGGCTTCGATATTGCTTTCGAGTCCGATATTTATCATATTCCGATTCGGCTAATTATGTTGGACATTAGATCGAACCCTGATCTTCGATATCGAGACCGGTGTTACCCGTGACTTCGATTTCTACCCAGATACAGATGTGCCGACTCCGGTCTATTTCTTCAGATGCCCGACCGAGCATCGGGCTCGGTTACAAATTCAAAAATATCATTTTGTAAATTCGATGATGATATAACTATACTAGTGCCTTGATATTTATGATGTCTCCTCACATCACTATATAATAATTAAGTTGTATTATTAATAGGGTAGTCGTTGCGCAATCCAGTACTTACAAACATAAAAATTCAAAACCGTGTTTCATACAATCATGAACCTCCAAAACATCTTTTCCGGCTTTTAATATTTATGGATACTATATTAACAGAGTGAGTGACAATATAACATTTTTAAAGGGAATCTTGCAAAGTTGCTGTACTATATATCGACTGACCAATAATCAATCACGTATTTAGTCAAGTAAGGCAACCACGCGCAATGGCTGCTATGTTCCTAATTAAAGGATTTAATTTACAAGAATTTGAGAAGATAGTCGCTTTCATAGTCATATACAGAGGCTCTCGATCACTATTATAAATGTTCATCTTCTCTTCCACTTTTCTCACCGGTACTCTTTCAAGTGACTTTTCTTATACTTTAAAAATGGCCTCAGCGGCAGTGAGCTAATGACTAATCACAAGCTCGCTTTCTTTTTTGGCGTTCTCAAGAATAATAGCATGCCAAAAAAAAGAAAGCGAGCTTGTGAATAGGCACCATGTTACTAGAGTTTGGAGTAGCTGATTCTGAGAAAATAATTCATGTGGGTAGTTCTTAATATGCTAGTTTTTTGTAGCGAGGCTGAGGTAATCAATCTACTTCTAGTTTTGTAAATTTCTTCACCACTGCCCATGAATTCCTTTATAAAAGAATTGTAACTTTGGAATATTCCCTTTTCAAAATATTGCTAGTAATATCTTTGTCACTCACTCTATTATATACACGTACCTAGGGGTGGCCAAAGGGCTGTTTGGGTTGAAGTTGGGCGGGGTCATGATGTGCTGAGTAAATAAATGGGTTAATGCCTTTGAGTCAAGAAGAGTTGGGTCAAGATAGGGATGGCAGTGGGGCGGGAGCGGGCAGGTTTTATTTGATGTGGGGCGGGCAGGTTAAAACAGTTTTTAAAAATTTTAAAGCGGGGCGGGGCAGATTGCGGGCTTAACGCGGGTTCAATGCGAGGCAGTTATGAATTAATTTTTTTTTTTTTTGAAACAAACCAGTCATTTCAACTACAATTTTACATTCTTTTTTACTAGCAATTTAACTTTCGGACTTTTCCTAGTAAGCATTCTTGTGTTCTTTATCTTATATTTATTTTATTTTCAATTTTTTCATATTTAAAAACGGTAATGGTTACTATTTTAGAGTGTTCATATCGAGAAACATGCCAATGAAATACATTATGAACTGTTAAAAAGAATGATTATAAAGCTTTAAGATTTGTTTTATTTCAGCTCTATTTTGCGGGTAGTCATTATACAATTAAGGATGGACGCAAATTAAAAAGGAATGTATTATGCATATAGCAGCTAACAGATTAGGTGAAAGAATCTTGTCTCTCTTATTTCATGGGCAGGGCGTGGTTAATTTATACATTTGAAAAATTATGTTACTACTAATGAGATTAATTGGCATGAGCATGTAGTTTAAAAACATAATTGCTTGAATAATATTAAACTCCCCATTTTATAAAATAATAAAATATCAAACTAGTTTGTTTTAGAAAAAAATAAAAGAAAAAATCTTAAGTGGGGCGGGGCGAGTTGAAAACTGAAAAAATAGCTATGCAGGGTGGGGTGGGGCAAGTTGAAATTTTTGTGGATTTTGCCAAACCTGTCTCTCCCCGCCCCATTGCCATCCCTAGGTCAAGATAGGCTAAACAATGGATCGTAACCCAACCCGCCTAACTTGGCACAAATCTTTCCAATATTCTCAACTTTTAAATAAATTAAAACCCAATAATTTTAACAAAAGAAAAAAAATATTCACAAACAATCTCCTCTGACTCAAATCATAATATGTTGAGAATTATATTGCGGTACCTCAAAAATAGCCCAGTGCCCATCCTTTATTTTATTGATATAAATGTTTTTCTGCTTTATTTTCAGATTCTTTTTAATTGATGATTGTTTTTGCCAACAACAATTAATTAAATAAATCATTCGATGAGTTCTTTTAGTTTAACCATTTGGATATAAGAATTTTTTCATTTTTTTTAAAAATCAGTGTTTGGCCATAAGATTTTTTTTTTCTTTTTGGCAATCCGCTAGGCAAGTGCCTAGGGCTAGTTTTTATATATATCTAAATAAAACAAAAACAAAACAATGTGATGAAGAGTCATACCAACTGTAAAGACATAGGTCCTATTACCTAAATTGAGCAGGTTATACTCAATTAAGTTAGTACATTTTGAACTAAGTAATACTTTGTAAAGAAGTCTAGACATGTATAAAAGTTCATGAATAAAAACTAGCCCTAATAATGTCATGATAAGTAGATACTCAATTGTCCAGAATTGTGGTCGTCTTTTCCTAGTGAGTTGATCATTTTGCTCCATGTCTGCCCATCAATATCCTGTCCAGCTCAATAACCTTCGATCATCAATGGCTAAATAACCTGCAATGTGATAGCACACAGCCAACTCCCTTGCACCTGCTATTTTCCTCTGTTGCACCAGTTCTGTACATCCTTTAGTGTTGCGTTTTTCTTGACAAAAACATATGTTTTCCAGCAGCACCTTGATGACGTTTGTATGGTACTGCCTCCTCAACTCATCTAATAGTCTCATTCTTAATTGCCAAAGGTGCATGTCTGCCATAACGTGATACATGACATATATGGGCAGCCTTCTATTATAATTGCCTATTTGAATGTCCCTACCTTGTAACTCTAGAGTATAGCTACTGTTGTGTTATTTAGGACCTAGGACATATCTATGAATGATGGAAAAATTCCACCTCCAGCTCCTGTCAATAATCTGTACTGTCCTCCAGCTTCTCTCTTCTATGCTTGTGCCTATCTTTGATTTCCTCCCAATGGAATGAGTACATAGTACTGATACCACCAACTGGGTGTTCCTCAAAGGATAGGGCATAGGTACAGTATCGTCTCCTGCAAAAAAGTAAACGACGTCAGAATAAAACCTGATCACGATGTTCTCTTCCATTTGGATTTGATCATAGTGATCTCTTGTGTGATCTTCTTGAGAATCCAATTCTATTGTGCTAATGTTTGCTTGGCTCCCTGTATTTGATGTTTGTTTCACATCATAGACATGTATGGTTAATTTCCATAACTGTATCATCCACTTGAATTCCTTTTTTACTAAATCTGGAAAATCCAGTGTCAACAGAATGTGCACAAACGTGATATTGTCTTGTTTGCAATTGAAATCTTGAGACCTCCAGCCTGTTGTTGTAATATTCTTTGTATTGCTCCATTTTTGGGATTCATTGTGACCAAAATGAACTGACCAGTGACTTTCCACTACCTTCCATAATGCCAATATTCGAAGCCACAACATGAATCTGCTATATACCCAAAATTCTAGGTAGTCTTCTGTCAAAATTACTCATTTGATCCATCATTTCCATGCTTGTGCATACCATGATTTCTCCTTCAAGGGAATGAGTACAAAGTACTAATACTACCCATTGAGATTGAAGATCATGGTAAGGCATGGGCACAATAACTTTTCCTGCAAAAAAGAACACATTGTTAGTAGTAAAAACGATCAGCAGGATCTTCTCCCTTAGGATTCGACCATGATGATCCAGTGTCAAAAGAGTGTGCACAGATGTGATGCTGTCTTGTTTGCTACTGAAATCCTTTGATCTCCAGCCTTGTGTTGTTATATTATTTGTGTTGCACCATTTTTGGGATGAAATGTGACACAACAGTCCCAATTCTTGATGCCAAAACATGAACCTGCCACATATCATTCTGGGCAGTCCTCTCTTGAAGGTGCTCCTTTGATTCATCATTTCCATGCTTGTGCATACCGTGATTTCTCTTTTAAGGGAATGAGTACAGAGTACTAATACCACCCATTGAAATTGAAGATCAAAGTAAGTCATGGGCACAATAACTTTTCCTGCAAAAAAGAACACAAGATTAGTGAAAAAAGTGATCAACACCATCTCCTCCATAAGGATTCGATGATGTTGATTCTGTTTGTGCACCAGCTCATTAATCCATCTCCTTGAACTCCTCTCCATCCCCTCTCTTACTGCCTCGATACCTTGACCCTCAAATATGGGCATTGAAGTTTATCTCCATTGATCAATCTCTTGCCTTGTGAATCAAGATGGTGGAAAGCATGACATTCTATGATTCCTTGATCAAGGGCATAATTTGCCAAATGGTCTGCCAGCTTATTCCCCTCTCTGAAAATGTGAGTTATTCTACCATTGCACATGACAAACAATTGTTTTATCTCATCCACTTGTTCCTCTATGACCCAAGGAGGTTTCAATTCCCCTCAATCACATTCTTGAGCAACATAGAGTCAGTTTGAAACCATATGTTAGAAATCTCATTATCTACGCAATAGTTCAAAGCCTCCAGTATTGCCATCGATTCTGCCTGAGTGTTTGTCACCTGTTGGATTTCCTTACCACACGCATACATCAAGTCACCATGCTCATTCCTCAAGCAAAATCCAATTGAACTCCCTGGATTACCCCTTGAAGCTCCATCTGTGTTGATTTTTGTCCATCCATGCATAGGAAACTCCCATAGAACCTTGCTTATCTTCAGCCTAGGAGTGTAATTCTCCATCATTCTAAGTATATTTGGCCATCTAAATGGCACTTGAACTATTCTTGGCTTTCTCACCTTGATGAGAGACTGGATAGTAGTGCAAACTTGGTACACCACTCGATTAGTAGTCACTGGCTCTCCATGCTTATTACTATTTCTTCTTTTCCATAGCTCCCAGACAATGATACTAGGTAATGCTTGAAAAATAGGTTTCAGTCTAGGAATTACCTTCACTGTCCAACACTTCACAATAGCTTGATACAAGGTTAATCCCTCCAAAGATAAGCCAGCATATGAAAAGAAATAATTCCATACTCTTGAGGCAGTGAATGATCGAAAGAAGATATGCCCCACTGATTCTTCATTTGGCATTATACAACACCAACATTTTGATGGCATAAAGTACCCCATTCTTCTCAATGTATCATCAAGAGGTAATTTTCCTTTCCATAGCTTCCACATAAAGAACGATATTTTAAAAGGCAAACCCTTAACCCATATATTAGCATACGTAATGGAAGTATCTCTTCTCCTTCTCAGGTATTCCCATGCGGATTTCACACTGAAATTCCCCTTAACTTCTAGACTCCAGACGGGCTTGTCCAGCTCATCATACCTAGCTGGGCATGGAATGTTCTCCAGAATATGAGTAGCCAAATCATTAGGAAGTATTTCCTTAATCCTCTCATCATTCCACCTTCCTTCTATCACCACATCGTTAACATTATTTATTGTTTCATCACAAAAGAAATCTGGAGGTGTGATAAAATATAGAGATCCCAAACCTGTCCAATTGTCAAACCAAAAAAGGGAAGATCCCATTTTTAGTTTCCATAGAATTTGATGCTCAATAATGTCCCTACATTCTAACATTTTCCTCTAATTATGTGAGCCACCTCTCCAAGGCACCACCATGGCATTCAACTTCTTACAATATTTCTGGCTCATAAAGGAGCTCCATAGAGAAGGCTTGGTCCTGAAGTTCCACTATAATTTACAAAAGAGCGCCTTAGACATGTCATGTAAAGATCGGAATCCTATACCTCTTTCATCATAAGGCAAGCATAGGGTATCCCATGAGGCCCAATGTCTAGCTCTACCATCTATCAAATTGCTCCAGAAGAACCTAGCAAAGAGTTTATGTAATTTGTTGATCACATTGGCAGGTGGGTTCACAGCTGATAGTAAATGAATGGGCATGCTTTGTAGAACACTTGTGATAAATACTGCCCTTCCTCCAATTGATAAGAGCTTTCCTTTCCACGTTTGAATTCTGTCAAGCACCTTGGTGATCAAACCCTCATAAAAATCTATCCTCCTTCGTGAATAAAATATGGGGCATCCAAGGTATGTAAACGGAAATTCTTTCCTCCCTAATCCAGTAATCCTTTCAATTTTCCTCACAACTTCTTCATTTGTTGAATGATGAACATATACGGCAGATTTGGTCGTGTTGATCAATTGACCTGAAGCTATTTCATAGGACTTCAAAACCTCCATAATTAATCTCAAAGACATGGCATCTGATGATGAAAATATGATTGTATCGTCTGCATAAGCAAGATGATTAATCTTAGGACTCCACTTAGGCAATCCAAAACCACAGAAATACAAGTTCATATGCAATGCATTCAATCCCCTAGACATTGCTTCAGCAGCCAGAACAAAAATAATGAAGGTGACAAAGGATCTCCTTGTTTCACACCTCTAGTCGACTTGAAGAAACCATAAGGTTGGCCATTAACAAGTACTGAATACCAATTGTTAGAGACAATACCAAACATTAGGCCAATAAATCTTTCTAAGAACCCCATTTTCCTCAATACTTTGGTGAGGAATAACCAGGATAATCTATCATAAGCCTTCATCATGCCAAGCTTTAGTACCACATTAGGGCCTACCTTTGTTCTCAATCTGATGTCAGTGATTATTTCTTGAGTAAGCAATACATCTTCTACAATACTTCTTCCTTTTACAAACCCTGCTTGTTCATCCGAAATAACATTAGGCATGATATCTACCAGTCTCTCATGAACAACCCTCGATATAATTTTGTTGGTGAAATTGCTCAAACTTATTGGCCTCAAATCTGAAAAAGTATGCAAAACTTTCTTCTTAGGTAATAGAACTAAATTTGTGTGAGTCACAAATTTGGGAAGTTCATGCCCACAGAAGAAAGCCTTCACCATCTATAATATATCAACCCCAATAATTTCCCAACAAGCATGGAAACAGTTGCCATTAAAGCCATTCGGTCCACACGCACTGTCCCCATTCAAGCCAAATACTGCCTTTTTCACTTCCTCCATGGTTGGTATCAAAGTTAACTTCTGATTCTGCTCCTCATTCATCATTGTAGGAACATGATCTAGTATCCTAAAGTCATTAGGCACGCTAGATTCATGAAACTGCTGCCGGAAGAACACCACTGCCTCATTTGCCATTGCTTCTATCCAATTTCTATCTCCATCCTTGAACCATGCCATACCTGCCTTTTGTTTCCACAAATCTTCCTCTAATGCCCATACACGAATTAATTCAGCTTGCACCTTTTGGAGTCTTTCCCGATTTTGAATGGTAGGGCTGAGTTCAAATTGAGCTTCATGTACCTTGACTACCTCTTCCAAACTTGCTATTTTCTGAAAAATATCCCCAAACGTTGCCTTACTCCATAAAGATAAGGCTTTCTTCAGTTTCTTCACTTGACGTTAAACATAATGAATGGACTGGCATGAAAATCTGCCTGCCAGTTTTCTCGAACAACATCTAAGAAGGTGTCATGTTTCAACCAGAAATTGAGAAATCTGAATGTTTTTTTAATTGGAGCTATGCTGGGATTACAACTTAGGAGCACTGGACAATGATCAGATCCAATTTTGGATAGGTGATTGATCTCCAAAGCTGGCCAAAAATCTTGAAGTTCCATATTACCCAAACACCTATCTAGTCTATTGAATATACAATCTTCTTCAGCTCTCCCATTCCACCAAGTATATATACTTCCTTTAAAACCAAGATCAAATAGATTACATGTATTAACACAATGCCTGAAGTCATCAATCTCATTAATATTAACTGGAAGCCCCCCAAATTTTTCTTCGTCATCCCAAATTATATTGAAGTCTCCTCCAACTAGCCATGGCAATGTCATATCACTTGCTAAAGCATAAAGAGTATCCCATAGTTCAATTCTTTCGATTGCATCGCATTTGGCATACACTAACATAATTATAAACTCCTTGTGTTCATCAGTATCAATCAGCTTCAAGGTTAGTTGTTGCTCCATATTAAAAAGGATTTCAAAATCATACCTCTCGTCAATGAATACCCATATTTTGCTGGAAACATTAATCACTGCTTGTTCAAAACCCAATCTCCTTCTATATTGATCCATCTTCTTTGCTTGTTGTTTCGGCTCCATTAAGGCAATAATATGAAATTGATATTGCCTATCCATTGTAATGACTCTTTCAAAGGCCTGCATCGTATTGACTGACCTGATATTCCAAATCAAAGAATTCATCATTAACTTAGTGATTTGGATATGGTTCTTCTCGTTTGAACTCCAGGGGCTTGTACCCCAGAACTATCCTTAGCTTGTTTTCTTTTTCCCCTCCCAGCAGATTTCCCTTTTTCAATTTGCCTAGGAGAAATATCACCTTGTCTTGCCACGTTCATGAAGTTCTGATCAGTCGATTCTTCATCCATATCCTTTCCTTTTGCTTGCTAATCCTGTTTTTCTCCTTCATGGTGATCCTGTCCCATAATCTAATTTTTTTGTTGATTCAACCATCAAGTCCTTAGTAATATTGTCTTGCTGCACCAATCCAGTTGTAGCAACTGTATTTTTTGGACTTAGTACTCCTTCTTTAACTGCTGACTTTACTACTTCATTATCTGGGCAAGCAACTTCAAAATTCTTCTGTGTATCATTAACCTTTCCTTCAATGTACTGTCATGTTGATCACCTGGGTCAATTGGCTGGGTTATGAGGTTGGACAATTTGGTAGGGTCTACTGTATCATTGTTCTGTGTGGATCCAATGTTAGGATTAGGATTATGAGTAAGGATTTGGTTAGATGTAGGAGCTGGATTATGGCTAGTGGTTTGTGATCGGTTTAGTGGTTTAGAAGTTTTGTCAACCTCAGCTCGAATACTCTTAGCCTTAACACTTTGTTCTTCCACTTCTGGATCATCTTCTTGTACTTCCTCTACATCTTCATGACCTACTAGGAATTCACCTTCATCAGTTTCCTCTTCAGTTTGTTCACTCCAAAATTTACCTCCTTTGAAATTCACATGTTTTTTTGAATTCCCTATTCCGGAATAACACTTGTATCAAGAGATTGAAATGGGATTTCTTGACAGCATTGGTTTGTGGTAACATTGTATGCAGCAAAAGCTCTACTAACCCATTGTGAAGTTGATTCCTTAGGCTTAGGACTAACACTCGCACCTGCCTTGAAAGATACTGCTGCTGCATTTAGATTCCCAGTTTTTATTGAGCTAAGTGTAGGACTTTCCACGACATTACCTTGATCAACTATTGCTAGTTATCTCTCCTTTACAATTCCTTCATCAACTTGGTTTGATTCTCTCCCAACTCCTTTATGTGTAGGACTACTACCTCTACTTTGATCTACCAATTCCAGCTGATTAGTTGCTTCATTATCTCCAGAATCTTCCGACAATGCAGCAAATTTCTTATTAATTTGCACAGCTTCTACTGGGACTATTTCTTTCCCAGAATTATTATTATCTTGGTTCCTAGATTTCTTCACTCTATTATCACGCACCTCCTTCCATTGCTCACCTAAGTTTCCAACAACTTTCCCACTTGATAGAATCATCAGTGGAACAGCTTGTTTAACTTTTTCTTTGTTACCTTGTACCACAGCTTCATTAGCAATTTGCTGCTCTACGGTTTTGTTTTCCATTAACTCCGGGTGAATTCTCCAACATTCAAGCATGTCATGGCCTTGTAACTTACACTCTTTACCGTACTTCGGCAAATAATCGTATCTGACTGTCACCCACTCAGTTCTAACATCTCCTGTTGCCTCATTCACGATATCCATACGCACCTTGTTAGGAAGATCCTGTAAAAGGTCAACTAGCACCTTAACTTTTGCACAGCTTGGCCTTGTCTTATTAATCGTATCCACATCAAGATGAAGTGGCTTTCCCACAGCAGAAGCCAATAAGAAAAGGCATTCTTTAACAAAATACGTTGGTAGCAAATTTGGAAACGAAATCCACGCCATTACCTTAGGTGTTTCCTCCCCGGCTTTGAACTTCGCATCATAGATCAAAGTTCTCAATTGGTATTCATGGCCATACTTGTCTTTCACATAATAAACACCCTTCGACGTAAAATCAATAAAGTCTTGCCATAACGTCAATCGTATTAACACATGTCTGTCACGAAGGTATCCAATATTGCACTCACCTTTAATTCCACATTGAAGCGGGACAATTCGACGTAATTCATTAAGCTCGAGCCACCCATACGAGAATTTGCAAACTACTACATACTGCAAACCTTCGATCACGTTCATTCGATCAACCTCTGCTTTAGTGAACGTTACCATGGGATGTCCTTGAAAAATAACTGCTTGACGCAATGGAATAGGATCAACAGAACTCTGTTTTGACGACGTTCCATTAATTGTTGCATTAATCGCTGCTGGTTTCAGTATGTTCGAGTAATCTAAGAGCTTGGGTATTGTTGAAGTGTTGTTAGGGATGGAGGGGGATGCTTGGGAGGGCTGACCAGCTATGGAAGAAGGCTGGTCGCCGGCCAGAATGGCCATTGACGACCACACGAAGTTGTTCGAGGCAGTCTTCTCTAAAATCGCCTGTCGCCAAAGCTACTTTAATTTTCACTTGAAGATGAATTTTGGAATTTTTCGAAAATTTGAAAAATCCCAATAAACTGTTTTTAAAATTTTTTATTCAGATCACTCACAAAACTTAAAAAACAACCCAAAATTATATTCATGTCCAAACACAACTCTAATTTTCAAATACCATTTTCACTTGAAATTTTTTTTCACTTTTTTTTGGAATTTTACATTTCTTATGTCCAAACGCCCACTAAGTTTCAACATACCTTTTCTTTAGTTATAAGAATTATTCCTCTCATTTTTATACCATTATCAAATACCTGTTGGTTTAATTATTGAAAAGATATCTTGGTAATTAATTAATAAATAAAATTACAATTGAAAATATTAAAATTATTTACAGGTAATATGAGTAAATGTTTCAGAACATACAGGGCCGCCAAAAAGCATTAGCTCCAAAGAAATTATTTTATCCGACTCAAATGTTGAAGAAGAACTATTATTTACTGGAATCTGATATATGTACATTATATAATATTCCATCCTTTCCCAGTTATTATTAGGTACATGTAAATTGTGTGTCATTTTGAATCTGATAATGTTCTTTTGCTTCTTAATTTAATTATGACCCCTAAGATAGAGCATTTCCATGGGTCAAGGTTGGATTTCATCATAGGTCTATTTGGGTTGATGATTTGTGATGGGCTACTATGGGCTAGCCCAAAACAACCCATCTTCCAAAATATTTTAGCCCAAGCCCATTAAAATTTGGGCGGGTTGGACAGGTTAAATGGATTTGGGTTAATTTTGCCACCTGTAATAGTACCAAGAAATATTAAAAGGCAAAGCACTTTGGAGGTTCTTGATTGTGAAAACATTTCAAGTAAATTTGAGGAGGGATTCCTGTTACTATGATTGTCAACAAGTTACACGAGAACACCCCAGAAAAGAATGCTACTCTGTTATGGATCACCAAAGTTTCTGGCATTAAGCTGTTTTTAACTTGTTGAATATTTGGAAAATGAAAGACCAATAACTTTTGAGCGGGTAGAATTTAGTGGGAGTTTGCCTACAAAGATGTAAAATCCTTACTCATGGACAAAGGTGATTTGAATGTTCTGATACTGCTGAATGTGCATAACTTTGTTGCATAACTCAAGTTAATGTTTGTAAGCATTATTTCATAGATATTCCAACAGGTATTGGATTTTCCTAAATATGCAACAAATCCAGGAGATATACTTCACTTCTAAGGACCACTATTACTACTACTATCTTAACAGAGTTAATTTCTTAAATGGTCATGAAAATAACGCAATAAAGTCATTATTAAATTTTTGAAC